TTCAGCCTCCTGAGTAGTTGGGATTATGGACATTTGTCACCATGCCTCGCTGCAATACACTACTATAGCCATACTTTTGGCAAACAAGCTCTTCATCATCAACACCTTTTTCTTATTAGTACTAGTAGGAAACTGGTTACAAATAAAATACCCTTGTATGTTGAAATTACATGTAAAACCACTTACAGAATTGGTCTTCAATTACCCTGCCTCCTTCACAGAAAGGATTGTTTAGAGGCCTTTAAATTTATTGCAATCCTTTCATGGACTTCTTTTACAGAAGACTAGCCAGGTACACTGCTATGAATTAAAGAGTCATGGGTGGTCTTCAGTCCCATTGTAGTCAGTTTTTCCCAGTCTTAAAGGGGCTGGAGATTTAGCTCAGTGGCACAGTGCCTGCCTGGCAAGTACAAGGTGATGAGTTCGATTCCTGGTACCAGAAAAAACAACAACAACAAAAAACCCAAAAAACCTCCAAATTGGATTCAGGCCAGAGTGGTGGGGCACGCCTGTAATCCCAGCACCCGGGAGGCTGAGGCAGCAGGATGGTCGCGAGTTCAAGACCAGTCTGGGCTACAAAGTGAGCTCAAGTCCAGCCTGAACTGCATAGCGAGACTCTCTCAAAAAGACAAAAAAAAAAAAAATTTTTTTTTTTTTGATTCAGGCTTCGCTTAAGCCCAATTTCACAGCCGAACCCCACATTTTGTTTACCTGCATGGATAATCTAATTATTTGAATAGTGACACAGAATATCCTTTTTTTTTTTTTTTTTTGGTACCAGGAATCGAACTCGGGACCTTGCGCTGGCCAGGCAGACGATTATGCCGCTGAGCTATACCCCTGGCCACCAGAGTATCCTTTAAGGACACTTCACGGATATATTGAAAAAAATCCTGAAACAATGTAGGATACATTTTGTACTTTTTAAAAAACATACTGACTTTGTGGTCAGTTCTTGGTGAGCTACTGGTTGCAGATAGAGTGAAAATAGCCCATATATTTGACATGATTTTTGTTTTTTTTTTTCCGGTACCGGGAATCGAACTCACGACTTTGCGTTTGCCAGGCAGGCGCTGTGCCGCTGAGCTAAATCCCCAGCTCCTTGACATGATTTTTAAAAGGCTGAGAAATTATATACGAAAACTGCAAACCCCTCATCTCAAACGCATTGTGGACTACTCTGGATGTCCTACAAGTACCGCGCGCTAGCCGATTGCGCCACTGGAGCGTCTACTCTGGACGTCAATACTGACGTTTGCGTTTCACAACTGAGCACAGCCACTGCCCCTCCCTTTCCAAAACTGATATCCTAATAATCCCAAATATATTACAATCTAATGAACTAAACCTTATCGAATAAATATACCTCTCCTTTTTTTATAGAAGTGCAAATTGTATCCAAAACAGCACTTTCCAGTGGAAATTTATGGGACAGAAATGTTTTGTATCTGTAATGTCCAATAGGGTAATTACTAGCCACTTGTAGGTATCCAAACGTGGCTAGTTTAGCTAAGGAACTAAATTTTAAATTGTTTTAATTAAATAGCCATATGTACTGGATAGTAGTGGTCTAGTAGACCCTTCAAACATTCTTGGAAATGTGAGAGGTGGAAGGCCCATTATGGACCAACTAAGAATTTTATTTATTGATTTATTCAGTGGTGCTGAGGATTGAATCCAGGGCCTCCCACACGCCAAGCAAGCACTCAACCACTGGCCTCCACCCCCAGTTCCTACTAAGCTTTGAGACAGTTTCTTGCTAAATTGTCCAGGTTGGCCTCAAATTTCTGCCACGGACTTTCCAGTAGATAGGATGATAGGCGTGCATTGCCACGCCTGGCTGATCATCTTAAATTATCAACAATGTGTTTTAAAAACCCTGTCATTCCTTCAGGTTGAAATTTTCCACAAGTTTCACATTTTCAAAAAATAAAACTCAAATCAACCAGATTCTTCAGGCTGCTTTTCTGCGTGAATCATCTTTCTGCAAAGAGGTGTAAGACTGATTTTATTGCCAACTCTGCCCCCTCTTCTACAGACAGAATTCAGGGATTAGATTCTGCATTTATTTAGGTTATTCTCCTAAAAAACCCGGTTTCCATATTGCAAATAAATGACAGGAACTTTTCCACTAGATTATCCCAGACAGCACAAATGTTCTTTCCAAAAATGGAGACTGGAATTACAGCCCCTCACATTGCTACATCTGTTTATACTTATAGAAGCGACATCCACTTAGCAGACAGAGAATGCCAGTTTCTTGGGGAAGGACTGAGAATATGGTGGTGCTGGAAGAAAAGAATCCCTATTCAAAATAAAAGATCCATACAAGCCCCTTTGAAATGGAAAGATTTTGCTTGTAGAGTATCGTAGATTCTGGGTACAGGCTAGGCCATGACCTAGTCATTATCATTTTCTACGTAAGGAAGCTGTGGATAATTCACAAAACCTAATCCTCAGTTTTCCTATCTGTAAAACGGAATGACGTTGCGTTGAGAAAAAAAATGTGAAAAATTATGAAATGGATCAAAGCTTGCATGTTATCTCCAGGACTCTGGAGACTAATCCACACCTTTGATGTCTCTTCAGTAGTCTATTTCACTGCTCTGTAAACCGCAGAAATTTATGGTGATGTAAATAATTCTTATCAACAGAAATGCGACTTTGTTAGAGATACTGGTTCCCATAGATACCGTAACACCCATCCCATCCGCTGTTTGGATTTTTCTTGCTGTTTGGAATTTTCTGGTTTCAATTACTCTTACCGACTTTCCATCCAGATCCGAAAATAGTAAATGAAAAGTTCTAGAAATAATCCCTAACTTTTAACTAAACCTTACTATCATATAGTTACAATTGTCCATTTGATTATTGTTAACCTCTTTCTACATTTAATTTATAAACTAGGCTTTGTCATAGGAATGTCTAGGGAAAAAAAAGTACAGATAAGGTTCAATAGTATCTCTGGTTTCCGGCGCGCTGGACTGCGGATGTTCAAACACATCCCTTGAAGATAAGAGGAGGCGACTGTAATTTTAAACATCACATTTCAGTTTTACTTCTTTCTTGATTGCTAATTATCTGTAAATTCTTCACATTCTCATTTGAATGGATTGCCCCTATCGGGTTGGTTCCTTCCCTAATTATTAAGTCAAATTATTTTTGACCCATGTTCACTATCGTTGGGTCAAATGGTATTTTTTTAATTTCTCGCCCAAATTCATTCTATATTTGTAGAATCGTGTTTTTAACTTCTCAAGAGCCGGGCGTGGTGGCACACGCCTGTAATCCCAGCACTCGGGAGGCTGAGGCAGGAGGATCCTTGCGAGTTCGAGACCAGCCCGGGGTATAAAGTGAGCTCAAGGTCAGCCTGAACTGCACAGTGAGACCCTGTCTCAAAAAGACAAAAACAAACAAACAAAAAAACACCCAAAAAACCCAAAAAACTTCTCCAGGAAAGGAGTTTAGCTCTATAGGCTTTCTGGAAGTATTGGTTTGAAGGTTCCTATTGACAATCAAGGTCCGGTTTACGTTTGCAGGAAGGCTGCGGGGGACTTCCAGGATTCGGGGGGTCAGGGCTGGGTGGGCGTTGCTAATGACCACCGCGAAGAGTATAAGGGCCGGGCCGGGTGGGCCGGCACCAAGGGCGAAGCCCCGCTCCCCCACCCTTTCAGCAGAGGCTCGGGGTCGCGGCGGGGGGCTCAGGTGGAGGCCGCCCTGCAGCAGGCGCGGGCTGGCCTTGCAGGCCGGGGCAGCGGCCCGGGACTTGCATGCCCGGGGTCAGCGGGCTC